TCTCAACTATTTCATTCTCTTGTCCTTAGTCTTAAAAGGAATAATTTCATAAGTTAGATTATCCTTTAACTAAATGTTATCAAATTCAAGAACATGAGAATGATCATGTAACATATTTGTTTTTATGGAATTATTACTTTATTAAAATAGTCTCGCCAAAAAGTAAAGAAAAAAAAGTATTTATACCTAAATTTTATAAAAGGACAGTATATATATATATATATATATATATATAAAGGAGGGATTTGTTTACTCCAAGAGTAAGTCTATCTAAGCTTACTTCGTTCAATAATTCATATTCTATATTAAATTTCAACGATCTGACCATTAAAATTAAAGTTCTTAATGCATAGATCAAGTCTACAAATTTTTTAAAAATTTAAAAACCATTTGATACTTCATTTTATTAATTCAAATTGACGGATAGTCGTTTCTAAATGACTCAATCGTTTCACTAAAAAGACCATATTTGTTTTTCATGATTTTTGGGATTTTTGAAGCTCTCCATTCCATCCCAAGCTTCCTACAAGTTCCAATCTCAAATCTAAACCATAAAAATTCATCTAAATAACCAGAATACATAAAAATAATAATAAAAAAAACTAAAAATCAACACAAAATAGGACATGCAACCATAGATTTCAACATTCATCAAAAACATGCATGACATGTCACTTGTCATGTTTTTTTTTATATTTATTTATGTTATTCAGTTACTAATTTATATAAATACTTATTTATAGAGTTAGAATAATTGATTAAAAATTATATCTGTGTAAAAAATTGTCCATATAAAAAATGTGTAAGAATGAGATCTATAGAATAGACACTAGTTAAAATAAGATTAATAAATTATAAATCTTTGAAGAGATCAATATGTAAAATTATTTGTTTGAATTGTGTTTGGAGATGATTAAATTTGCATTTCTCAATGTCGATCTCTAATTTTTTTACTTGTAATTTGTTTTCGTTATAAGGAGCTTATTTTTTTTAGTACAATTACTTTCAAGAGTTTAACATGTATTAAATGAGTAAATATCATTAAAAAAAGATTCATTTGTATGAGTTAGAATCCTATTAAGATTTATTGCAAGAAAATTTGTTGTCTTTCATTCATCATACCAGTAATATAAATACATATCACAAGTCATTGTTATAAATATTGAGATATGATATTCACCTAATATAGAAGATATGATACTCTCTTAATATAGAAGATGTGATATCTCCTAAATATAATGACTAATGGAAAAAATAATAAATAGCTATAATGATAATATTTCAATAATCTCAATATTTCCCTCAAGTTGGAGGATGAAGATCCCGAATGCCTAACTTGCAAATAAGGAACTCAAATTGTGTTTTTTTCCAAAGCCTTTGTAAAAATGTCTACTAGTTGTATCGTAATAGGAACATATGAGAGACAAATGATGTCGATCATCACCACATTACAAATAAAATGACAATCATCTTCAATATATTTCATTCTTTCATAAAATATTAAATTTTGAGCTATATGTAATGTTGATCGACTATCACAATACAATCACATCCCTTTAGAATGATTAACTTCCAAATCATTAAGTAACTATTTAAGCCATTTTAACTCACATGTAGTCGCCGCCATAGAGCGATATTCAGCCCCTACAGAAAAGCGAGAAACAATTGATTGTTTCTCAATTTTCCAAGACACTAGAAAAAGCCAAGAAGCACCACCCAATCAGTCAAAGAACATCATGTAAGTGGACAGCCCGCCCAATCTGAATGACATTATCCTCTAGGTTCAGTTTTCTATCAAACCAAAGTAGAATACCTTGCCCTGGATTTTTCTTCAAATATATAATAACCCTTAAGGCTGCCTCCCAATGCTTTTCACGAGGTTGTTGCATAAACTGAGACAAAATGTGTACAGAGTAAGCAAGATCCGGTCTAGTCACATACAAATAAATTAATAGTCCAATAAGTCTTTGATAGGGTTTTGGATCTTCAAGTGGTGTACCAGAACTCAACGCTAGCTTATTGTGTTGTTTCATTGGAAAATATGTGGGCTTGACACCTAATAAATCTATATCTTCAATGATTTCCAACACATATTTTCGCTGGCAAAGATAAATCTCCGGGATTATGGGCTACCTCCAGCCCTAAAAAATATTTTAAGACTCCCAAATCCTTCGTATGGAAATAGGCACCTAAGTAAGCTTTAAAAATTTTCATGGTGAAATATCATAGGCTAGCCATAGAGATGTATTTCTCCCGGGTGCAATGTAAACAATGAGTAATCTGAATAGGATTGAACAAATCCATAGCACTTCAATGGCGTAGCCAACTTAGCAAACCAACAATGAGGAGCTTGTTTTAAGCTGTACAACGACTTTTTCAACCTGCAAACCAAATTTGGGTCATTTTTTTAAAACCTGGAGGAACTTTCATGTACACCTCCTCAACCAAGTCACCATGGAGAAACGCGTTATTTGATGTACTTCTCACTTTGTAATTGTCATCACTGCCAATAAGGTATGTACTGTCACCATTTTTGCCATTGGGACAAATGTTTCATCATAATCTATTCCCTCTCTCTAATGAAGTTTGAATATAACAAGTACCGCTTTCAAACGTTCTTTGCTCCCATCTGAGTGATGTTTTATTTTGTACACCCATTTACTTCCGAGTGCTTTTTTTCCGGGTGGCAGTTTCAGTAGATTCCATATCTCATTCTCTTCCGAGGCTGGTATCTCGTTGGCCATTCCAGCACACCAACCAGAATCTTTTACGGCTTCCTTAAAATTCTTAGGTTCTTTTCTTACTATCACTGCTGCAACAAATTTTGATGTCTAGCAAAAAATTGTTCATAATTTACAAAGTGATTAATAGGGTAAGGAGTACCTAAGGCATGTTGTTGAACAAATGAACTTTCTGAGGACTTTACTTTTCAAATGATATGAGTGACAAAATCCTTATATCTTGTAGATGGAATTTTGTTTCTCATCCCCTTCCCATTTCTATCTCAATATTTTCATCTTGCACCGCCACAACATCAACCCCATTAACTCTGTGTGGGGACACTACCTCGCCATCCACACCACTCACACTAACTCCCTTATCAGCTAACACAGTAGCTCCATTACAGCCTCCATGCAACCCCCTTGGAGCTACGACTGCTCTTCTCCTTGCAAGGCCACGGATGAACCCCCTTTCTAAGTGATGCATCACAAGTCTCTCATCCAATATCATCCGCAACATACTCAATATCATAATTAATGTGAGGAGTAGAATGAATGTTGTCTAGTGACGTAGCAAATGAAAATTCATGTTAATGAAATTTCACATCTCTAGAGACAAAGTATTTGTGGGATTCCAAATCATACAATTTCCATTCTTTTTCCCATATGGATACCCCACAAATATACACTTTTGACTTCTACTTACAAATTTATCCCTGTCATTATGTTGATTATGCGTATAACATAAACAACCAAAAACTTTCATGTTATCAAATTTAGAGGCTTTACTAAATAATTTTTCATAAGGTGTTATATTAAGCACATTGGATGGTGTGCGATTAATTAAATAACATGATATCTCAAACATAATCTCATTCCTTAACGAAAAACCATGTAGAAAATTAAATTTGGTGTCATTGTCACTTCATACTTTCTTTATTTTCTTATCAAATTGTCAACAAAGGCAACAAAGTTCATAAACATAGACTCAACTTTAGTTATATTGCATAACAAATAAACCCAAATTGTTCGTGAATAATCATCAATAATTGTCAAATAATATTGCGCCCCACATGATGAAGGAGTGCAATAAGGTCCCCATAAATCACAATAAACTAATTCAAACAAATTACCTGCCTTGTGCTCACTTAATGAAAATGTTGTAAAAAAATGTGTGATTTGTGGCGGTTTTTTTGGCAATTTCTGGCGGCTAAAAACCAGCAGTCACCAAAAATGGTTTACGGCATATATTTTGTGAACGGGTATCAGAAAATTCAATCATTTTGTGGCTGTTTAAAACCACCACAAAATGCATTTTAATGTTACTTGTTCTAAAGTTTCTGACGGTTTAAAACTGCCACAAATTTATCTAAATTTTTCCTGATTCAGCATTTCTGGCGGTTTTAAACCGCCACAAAATTGCATTTTTTTTTTTCTTCATGCAACATAATTGGTCAGTTAAGATCCCTTACAGCTAATAGTGACCTCCTGGTCCTGGACTGCATAAGATTGTTCAACAGAGATCCAGTTAAAACACTTGATTGTAAACAATACCTGCATAGAAACATAGAAGCTGGCTTGAGTTGAGCTTTCAGGTCTAATACTGCAGACTGGAAATATCTAGAAAATCACATAAAAAAGATAAATTAAAACTAAAAATAATACTAAATCATTTTAAATTATAATTATATAAAGTATTAAAACTTGTTAAATGCAAGTGGCTATGAATCTTCTGATCAAGATAAGACTCATAATCATTATGGCAAGGTTAAAATGGTCCAAACAGAATGGATCAGTTTCAAGCTTTTCTTAACTTCTATACTAAGGTTATAAAACTCATCCCAATCATTGAATAAATAAGGCACTGATTCATGGTTCATTGGTGTAAACCTAATGAGTAGTTTACTCATTAATTTCATTTGCTAGTTTTGCGTTTGTATATCTAAGATTCTAAGGTCTCTCTTTACTGCTTACCTAGGATTAAGATCGGTCAGAAAAAATTCTAATTTTTTTTGGGTTCGGTACATGCCATCATACATGCCATATGAAATTCTGATCAGACAAGAATCAGATTGGCTACATCTAAAACTGTGGCTCCCATCATGGTTTGATGTAACAGACTGTAACATGTTTTGCTGTTCCTTGTTTTCTTTTTCAATGTAATTTCAAACAACAAGCAACGCATGTTATGCAGATCAGAACATATCATACAACTATATTTCTAGGATTTGTAAAATCAATATATTTGAAAAAGAAAAACAATTATTTCATTGCTTTACCTCAAAAATACATCTGAAGAATGTGCTTCAATGTTCTAAACAATGAAAAGACAATACCAGTAATTAGAATAAAGGATAACACTACACAAGAGTGTTCAACAAAATACATGTTAGATTAGTGAACATTAAAGTTGTTTTATCCATGTAGCCGAGGATCGATTGTAGTTGTAAAACAAGACTAACTTTGATGCTTGTAGGAAGGTGTTCCATCTATTTCATGGGTGTTTTCTGGGAAAAACATAATTGTGCACCAGTGGATTAAAATGCTAGTACATATGTTAACAGTCTAACAGCATAGCTGAAGCATCCTTCTTTAAGGGTATACGTATAATTATTGACATCAGACTATAATTCAATATGTTCTGCATTTTAATTTTTACTTTAATTGCAGTCTATCTATCTATATCAGCATAGGAATTCAAATTGATAGTTTAATAAAGCAAAATAAGATCAACCTTGAAGACCCAAAATCAAACTAAACTAAAACAAATATATTAACCCAAAATCAAGCACTTAAAGTAAGCACTACAATAACATCAGTGTTTTTAGTAGGTATCCTCTAGCATGTTACAAGATGGTAAACCAAAACAAGCACAAAATTTAGCATCCACTGCATGTCTATACCTCCTTTTCAGCAGTACTTCTTCTGTGTTGCTCTGAAAATCTGGCTCCCATCCCCATTTCTTCAAAAGGATCCATAAAAAGCTGAAAGTGGAGAGCAATAAACATAGCTATACCAAAACAATTGACTCACAATTTAAGACAGCAATAAGACCAATTTACCAATTTTATAATATAATACTAAATAGTAATAATTCTGAACATGTATTAGAGATGTTCAAATCCAAATCATTACCATTATAAAAATAGAAATTTCTAAAATTCAAGAAGTAACACATCCTACATTACTATCATACTTCAAATAAAATTGCTGAGGAACTTTCATATCTCCCACAGTTTAGATGGATTATGCCAAGAGTCAAACTTAAACTTGTTCATATATCAAACATAAATCACTTGCGATAAATTGTGTACTAAGGATAAAATGTTAACTAAAAGTAATGTGCCGTATAACTCGAATATAATGAATGAGTTAGAATCATTATATCTGTGTTCTAGATGTGGTATTAAGAGATAATTTTTAAAAGGAATTTTGGGATTAATAGTTTTAAAAAGGAATTTGATAGCGCTTTGTAATCAATCACTTGCAGCTAATCAACACCATAACAATATACAAATGCAGTCACATGAGAGAAAATATTCAGTTTCTGCTACCGGAAGCTTGAAAAAGAGTTTTACCAACAGCTTTTATCCATGTCCCTGAATTTCTTAATCCACACCTCAGAAGGGATCAGCTGTGAAACATAACGAGAAAAGGTACCATTCACAGCTGAATATACAGACGTGTGAGGTGAAAAGCTTGTCTCAACCAAAGTCGAGTATCATTTCTAGGGAATGGCCAGACAGCTTATCCCAGAAAACCAAAAAAAAAAATTATATAAACCAAAATCATAAGTTGATTATTTTATAAAAATTAAAAACATATTTAAGTCTAATATAAAAATAAAAGGTCTACAGCACAATGTGACCCCGCATAACCTTTACAAAAATAGAACAGAATAAGAGTTAAGTACAAAAATAGAACAAACACCATATCACATAGGATAAGATTAGACGTATAGGATACAAACCGGAATGGATGCTCAGATGTATAAAACTGTGGTTTATTGGCCTTAGCAATCACAACATCAAACAGTTTCGTCCAGCAGTCTCTACAATCCATAGAATCCTAATCAACATTCAAGAATAAATTCAAGGAAATTATGTCCAGAAATGAATAGTTCAAAACAATAATGAACCACAAAAAATGACATTTAAAACCAAAGTACTTTCAACCAAAAAATTTAAAAGATACTTCTGATGCTAAAGAAGACGAAGAGATTACTTTGATGGCTTTAAACATGGAAGACATAAGACAGGCAAAGAGTCAGGTTTGTTGGACAGAAAAAAATTTCACTTCAATGATTTTAGTGTACTTGATTTGCATGTCAAAGATGGTTAACTTCCTTAATATTGAGGAATTCTAAAAGGTGGTGAATCGAGGAAATTCATGAACATTGAGTTGAGGCTGAGGTTATTTTGTAGTGGAAGTTAATAGTTATATCAGATATGAACAATAAAACATTAACCTTGAGTAATTTATAAATTTCAACTGCACCATCATCTATTTTTTACCTTGTTCCCTTGTAAGAATAAATTTGTTTATTACTTGAGGGTTCAAGATGGCAGCCCATATCCAGATAAGATACTGTCATACTGATACATAGTTAATATATAAATTTCTATGCCATAGAAAAATGATATGTGTGTAAATGCAGGTGGCTGCATCTGCTGAAGGACCAATGATTTGTTAAGGAGTGGAATGATTTGTTTGGAGAAGGAGGTTCAAGACAGAAGCAGAAGCTTACTTATTTCTATTAGATTGTGGAAAGGTGGTTCTGTTTTGGACTAGTCAGTATCTATCACCAAATGAAGGAATGCAGTTAAGATATGTCATACAAGACTAATAAACAAGAAGGATTTTACCTTCTTGCAGCCATGACTTTCAATGGAGTGATTGTCCCAGTCAAGTTATTATTGTAGTATAGTAAAGATTTTTGCACACTTTCTCCTACTGTTTTCAGTCCAGCAAAGTGAATGACAACATCAAACCTGCAAGAAAGGAAAAACATATCAATTAAAGAGTCCAAATTTTTGCCTCAGGAAAACCATATAAACTGATCAAAACCAAAGAAAACATGATACAGAAAGACTTGTGAAGTTAGGAGTCAGGGAAGTTAAACTTGGGGAAAAATAAAGAAAAAGATCAAAGTAAGTACTGTAAAATAAAGAAAAAAATCCAGGTTCAAATCCATTTTTATTTTATTTTCATAGTTATTCTTTCTGGTTTCCCAAGAAAATCTCACTATTATAGATGAACCCATTATAGTGACTTTCTTTTTACCACCCGCTAACCACGCTAATCCTATTGTAAACTTATTTCCACCATCAATGTAAATACTATCGTGGAAGTAGAAAAATATGGTATGTAAATAGGCATGTGTTGTAAATATTATTAGAATAATATGTAATGTAAATATTAAAATAATAATGTAAGATATAAGAAGTTTATAGTTACGTATGTTATTGCAAATATTTTAATGTAATTATAAGTTAATTATGTGTATGTGCGTTCGAAAAATCATTCTTTGTTATCACGTATAATATTATTAATAACATACTTGTGTTCTCAATCTATAAATATAATATATATATATATATATATATATATATAGGGGAATGATAATATACTCCCACCTATTTTTTAATTGGAGTATGTTAGCAACCTACACCAAAATTTTAGGACAAAAAAGTCACTCATTTTTT